GAAGAGGTTAAGGCATGTAGTTGAGACATTCAGAATTCAAAAAGAATTATTCCACCAATGACCTTGAACTCTTCCATTAATTATTCTTTCTCTACGTTGCCTCATGCAATGAAAAATATGGTATGTAGATTCTTTACACAAGATATTCAGTACAATTATACTTGCTTTCTTGGACATTAGTTCCACTCTGTTTATTGTGAGTTACTCCTTGGTTACTGTGCATAGTATTGCAGCCAAAGTTGTTCAGTTACTTACAAACGTTTCTTCCTAAATTTGTGTTAAGTAGCTAACTCCTAGGGTTAGAGGCAGATCATCTTCTAAATTTCTTGGTAGGAATCAGTTAATTCCTGCTTTTACATTTTTGAAACTTGTTGCATAAATTTCTAGAGTGTCCTTCTAAACCCTGCATCTGTTGGATAGACTGGTACTTTACTTCATCAGTTGCTTCTGCAATCACTTTGTTGACTGATTGCTTTGTCATGATCTGAAGTGGTTTGCTTAATAGATGAAGGTCCAGACACTTTAGCACAATGACAAGAGAAGCTAGTTTTGCTGTGTATTTCCTTGTTCTTTAGACAGAATTGTAGTTACCTCTCTTTCTACACCACTACTTTGTAACACTGGTAGGCAACTTTATCAGCTTAGAAGTCCACATCTGCTGCTGGATCAGGAGTTGTGCGTGCATGCAAATATACATGCCTTCACCACTGGAATAAAGGGGGAAGACTCATCTCCTTTCCTTCCACTGATCTTGCTCCAGATTGCATTCCTCCTGTTCCTATTGTGTATCAAGAAAGTAAGAGCATTTATTGGGCTGGAGAAGCTCCAACATTGGCAATGAGAGCTTCTTTAACCCAATGGAATTTTACAACTAGACAAATGATTGATTGTCAGGCTGCCAGGAGGAGCTGTCAAGTGATGTAGACCAACTTTGTATTGCCCAGTGCATGGAATAATGGATGGTACTGGGGAAGCCTGAGTTCAAATTCAGCTTTATAAGAAGTGACACTGGACTTTGGCAAGTTGATGTGTCTTAGATCTAACCTACAGACTGGACTTGGGAATGAAGTGGGTTGATTCAGTCAGAACTTCTTGGTGGAAAGTGGGGACAGAAATGTAAACACATTTTAATAGAGGGATGCATAAGCTTTTTCTGACTGAGGGCTGCATTTCATCATTGAGGTGCTGGGGGTCACAGTCCTGAAACTAAGTGGGTTCAGGAGAAAAGATGGGTGAGTCCAGGGAAAACAGTTTGGATCTCATTTAAATTAAATGCATGTACATAAAGAATAAGATTTGTGCCATCTGAAATGGAACCAGGGTATTAACTACAATTAATATTATCATACCCAATTATTTAATAACTTTGCCCCTTCTATCACATTTACATTGCAATTTGGCAGCAATGGGGACGGGCTGTAGTGCTGAACCCAAAGCTTCTTTGGGCCTCATTGTCCTGGGACTCCAAATTCCACACCTTTTTTCCCCTACCCTTTCTCAATTAGCACTCTTTTTCTTTTTTACTGGCCTTATGTTAGTAGTGTCTGCTCACCATTTCTATAAAACATTTTCCACATGCATGCCTATGGAATAAATTGCCAGTAACCCCAAAACAGCTAGGGCGAAGTGTGAGCCAAGAAGTTGGAACTCAAAATCTACCCACAAGTTGCATGAAGTGTTTGCTAGTCCCAGTTTAGTAAACACTGTGATGGTTAGAAAATATATAGCCTTTTCTAGTCTGTGAGGTTTGGAAGAAAACAGATAGAAGTAAATAAGGAAGTTCCTGCTCTGCCTGATTTTTGCTTGCTCTGAGGCACCTCTCTTCCCTGTGTCTTGCTTAGTTTTTCCATCCCAGATCAAAACAAGCAAACATTTTAACTGCATTTCCTTCTTAATCTTTTCTTTATTGACAATTCCTTGCTTCTTTCTTTTCCCATACAGCATGCTCCCTCTTGTTCTGTGTTCAAGTGGAAGTTCCTTTGAACCTCCCTTTCTATTAATTCAGCCTTTTTTCTCTCCCAAATGCAGGCTCTCTTCCCTTTCTCTTTCATGCCCTGTTTCTGCACCCGCAGATCCTCTTATTCTACTATTCCCCCCAGACACATACAGACCATTTTTGTCCTCTATATTCTTTTTTTTTCTATACCACTATGACTTTATTGGCGTCTCCCTCAGTCCCCTCCTTTTTCCTGTAGTCCTCTCTGATGGTCTCACTGCACCTTGTTTCTCTTATTCTTTTTCCCTCTTATTCTTTTTTCTTCCCTCAATTCATGATTCTCTCAACACACTCAGAAATCCTCTTCCTTTCTTTCTTCTGCTTGCCCTCCCCATCTTTTGGGCTGTACTGAATTTAGGAACAATGGCACTTTCACTTTTCCAGCAGTTCATATTCTGGGGGCACCTGGGATGGCACTGGAGCTGACAGCAGGGCCTGAAAGCAGGTGACAACTCCACCAGGTACCTTCAAGTCTCTGGAAGAGCATTGGGGACAGAGAGACTTGGGGAATTCTGTTCCTGAATCCATTTTTAATGGGCTTTGATGGCTTTTCTAGTGCCAGGAAGAGGCATGAAAAAACTGTAAGCCACAGATATTTGGACTTGCAGACACCCCTCTTAGAACTGTGAAAGCTTATTGCCCTTAAGCTGAATAGTGTTGGAAAGGAAATAACTTACACTTAATAATTCCTGTTTAGGCTGGACAGAAGATGACTCAGACATTACTCCTTTGCCAGCTGAGGAAAAAACCTGAAGTTCAAGTTTTGTTTTGTTTTATTCATATTCCTAATTTAAAATAAATTGTGGAGTAGGAGAGAACATCTTCCACCAGTGTAACAAAACAGGGCATAACTGCAGCAATATAAACTACAGATTATAATTACACTAGTATCTGATGCAAATTAATCATCAGCAATCCCAGAGCAGACTAGCTAATTATGGAAATCAGTTGTGAAACAACTATTGTGACAAATAATGATTTAAACAATAAATTTAAAAAGTAGTGTTAATTGTTTTTTTAAATTAGCTACTTTCTCCTCCACATTTCTTCCTTACTAGCAGAAATCTTAATTACAATTAAGCCAGTTCACTTAATTAAAGAAAATTATGTGTATCAACTAATATGCACACTCCAAATTTCTAAATAGTCTTCAGAATAAGACTCTCAGCAGTAGAAAGCCCATTGAAGTGTAGAGAGAGATGAGGTCTTCGGACTATTCTAAAATTGATGGAGAATGGGTGTCCTTCCAGCCTTGCACTGCTTTTTTGCAACAATGAAAGCATGCCATATCTCTTCTGTTGTCCACTGGTCAATTTCTAAACCACTAAGTCAAAGGAACAAAAGCATTTACAAAACTAATGAGCCTTCCAAAACATAATTTATGTATAAACAACCTTTGTCTCCCCACCCCCCAAAAGCCACTATAGTAATCACCCACATCATAGAAACTGATGTTGCATTTTGAGCATCATAATGCCAATAACTAAACCCACCCTTTTATTCCCTAAAGAAACAGATAAGTGTCCAAAACCTGCAGACCAATACTCTTTATTGGCTTATATGCAGATATATAGTAGTTAAAGGGTATTTTAAGTAATAGAAATATTGCCACTGCAGTTTTATGATTGTAAACAATCAAATGAAAGATGAACTCTGGGCACATGTTCTCCACTGTTTTTTCTTGCCCTAAAAACAGGATTGCAGAAGGTGGGGCACGGGCTACATATGGTTTGCAGTACCCCTTCTGTGGTCCCAGGGCCTTTCGTGGAATGGGTGGACTCCAAAGTGTGAGTCCCAATTTTGCATCATGGGGGGATTTTAAAGAGCAAAATAGGTACCTGAAGCCTTCTTGAAACCCTGTCCTTAAAAAGGCCCTTGATATACTATGCAAAGGCTGCTGTAGTGCTTCAATCAGTAGAGGTTGCATGCCTCTGGCTTAAGGGGTCAACACCACAGTCCTATGTCAATTTGAGAGTCAATATGATTGATCACATTGAATCTTATTCACAGATGTATGAGTTCAATTAATTTATGACTGAATATGTGCTGAAATAGATAACAAAACAAGCAGAGTATCTAATTGCATTGGATATTGTTTATGATATTAATAGGAACAAGTTAGGGCTATTAAAACTGACACTGATTCAGCTGAAGCCTTTCTCAAATTTATTTCTTAAAGAAGCATGGTGAGTTTGCCTTTTTACTATAGTAAGGTATAAATCCAAATGTAGCAGGTGAGAAAAAATGATAAGGACAGCAGGGCTAGGAATTAAAGTGAAATGATTTGGGGCTAAAATATAAGTAATTAGCTACTTCTGCTTAGTTGGTGCTCTTGTGGTGTTGCAGTAGTTTTGGTTATAGTTGTTTTGTGGGTATCTCTACGTGTATCTATCTGAGTGTACATAAGCACCAAAGCATGATGATTGTCCACCACTGCCCTGGTGCTTGATAGTAGCCCCCCAGCAAGCTGCTGACATTTCATTATAAAATTAATAGATTTCAGTAGCATGATTTTTTTCCCCTTCTTTTGCCAAAAATAAGGAACAGGAGTTAGAGGTCTCTGGTAGATAAATTACCTCTATTTCATTCTTTAGTCTCACCTTCTTTGAAAATAGCCTGAAATTGGCCATATATAATACATACAGGAATAAAAAAATGGAATTGGTTTGGAATAATAATGAATATTTTATAACACGGAGGAGGGAAGTGCATTCCAATTGAAGCCTTTGAATATTTGCTTGGAGGAGAGGTTTGTTGTATGACCATATGTATAGGACAGCAAATTGGAGATTTTTGGAGAAAAATTCTTACTGTTACTGTTTTTTTCTATCATAAAATCAGAGTAGACTTTACTCATTTGTCTATTTTAATCACATGATTAACGAACTATTTTAACTGTTTATTACCACAATTACATACTGTTGGATTTGTGAAGATTGCCATTAGGATTCTTGGAATAGCTACTGAATGCTAGCAATTTAATCTGATATATGTTTCTCTGACAGATTTTGAAGCAAACTTTCTCAGGCTGATTGACAAGATAACCAATGGCTCTAGGATCGAAATAAACCAAACAGGTAATTATTATATATTTAGTGCTATCGGCGTACATGGAGTCCCAGTCTTTTGGAGCTGGAGGCATATTTGGAACTTTGGGAACATAATAATTTAAAAGCACTATTTTATTAACAAGTTATCTACCCTTCCTTTTATCCTCCCCTTTCCCTTGCTTTGATCTCCCTACTGCTTCTCATCTTTGTCCGTTTTTTAGGCAATTGGATCTGTGGCCAGATTAAGCATTATGTTGCAGCTACCCATCATTTTTATTCTTTAAAAAAAGTTAAAGGGGCCCATGCAGCTTACTAGCTTCCCATTTTTAAAAAATTAAAACAAACATAAAAAAGAGAGGTGGCTCATGGAGCTTAGGAAGGTGCCCGTAGTCTTATTTGTGTCACCATGTACAACATTGGGAACCCAGCTTTGCAGAGTACAAGGGAGGCCTCCTTGGAGGAGTTACACCTTTAAGTTGGGAAGTAGATATGGGAGGAGATATAGGATTGATAGAAGAAAGATCTATGAGTACTTCACTTAAAGTGCTTAAGCATGAAGATTTAGAGATCCGGACAAGGGAATGTGTATTTTTTTTTCTTTTTTTAATTAATTTTTATTATAGAAATTTTTTGCAAAGAAAAAAACAATGCAAATTTAAATAAAAAGGAAAGGAAAGGAAAAGTGATAAGTTAATAGAAAAGAAATGAAAAAGAAAAAGACAAAAAAGGAAAGAAAAACAAAGAAAAATATAAAGAAGTGGCTTCCGCTCTTCTTTACAGCAGTTATAAATGCATTTATATTTTATCCCCTCTCTCTAAGGTTACATCATGGCTCCTTTCTTTCCATATTCTACCCTTTCTAATAATCAAATCCATAAATCACAAGTTCATTTTTTTCTATATTTAGCAAAAAGTTCATAAAAGGCTTCCAGTCATTAACAAATGTAGTTATTGTCTTTTCCATAATCAAACAAGTCAATTTTGCCATCTCTGCAAATTCTGCCATCTAAGGGAATGTGTTTTTTCTTGTTTTCTACATTTTAAGGCTTTCTTTTATTTATAATTTTTGGTAGATTACCTTACAGGACAGCCTGATAGTATAAGTCCAGGTGGGGTGACCTTACTCTTTCTTTCTGTGCATTTTCCCATTTCTGACCTTTATTTTTTCTCCCACCCATTGCTGTAGTGTCCTGGTTGCATAATGAGAATGAACTCCCACAAAACACTTCTGTAGGTCTGTAGAGACATTTGCACATTTTGATTGACAGGCAAGGCAAATGTCCCCTTTTATGTCTCTGTAACTTTTGCAAAAATATTTCTGTTGCTTTTTTAACAGGTACTACTTTGTATTACCAGCCTGGCCTGCTCCACGGGGGTTCACTAGAACATGACTGCAGCCCAAATCGTAGTATTGGATATTATCTAGAGAGTCTTCTCTGCTTAGCCCCATTCATGAAACATTCACTAAGAATTGTTCTCCGAGGTATAACCAATGATCAGATAGATCCATCAGTAAGTTGAAGATCTACAATTTATCTTTTCCCTTTCCTAGGACATTGTGTGTACAATGCATTCACAGAATTGCAAAAGGGATAGGGTCAAGGGCAGTCTCTGGGGGTGGGATGGATGTCAAAATAGCATGCACCCACACTACTGAAGTCCCATTTCATTTTTTACATGCAATGTGACACATACCAAAAAAGTATTTGGTCACACAGTCACAATTCTCCTGAATTTGGAGTTCCCCTGTGGAATTTCCCTATGGAAACCCTACCTGCAATTAGGGTTAGGATTTGGGCAATAAAACGAGACAGGAAGCTAGGATATTGTTGAATGTTGCAAGAGCTAGCTCCATCCAGTGCAAAGAGAAGCCTGTAGAAGAAAGGTAGATAAGCCATTGATAAGGAGCCATGCATGATCTTTTATGTGGTGGCCCCCTAGGACAATGTGTGATTTCCCCACACACTCAGGCACGTGTGTGTTTTCATTATTGCAGATTCTTTTTCTGCCTTCCCATATAATGTAACTTGTATGGAGAAAGTCTGTAAATGGGTGTGCCTTGGGAACAGGATGCAGTATTACATGGCTGCCCTTTTAAAGGTCAATGTCAGTTAGTGTTGAGGAAAAACAAAGTGTTAAGGAGAAGCCCTGAGTACTTTGCTTGACTGGAATCTGTTCATATATGCTGTTCTGATAAGTTGATCTTGACAAACATAACTATGAAAATGCAATCCATTTTCAAGATGTCATGTATGTATTAAGTTTTTGGATAGCTATTCACCAATAGCTTAATAAATAAGGAAGTCTACAAATCCAGTCCGGGGAAAAACCTTTACAGGACCTGAGGCTCCCCATCCTTTGGACTACCTGAATATATCTGCACTTCTGCCCTTTCTTACATTTCAGTTAAGATATGTGGAAAGGAGAGAAATGGTGGGAACTGTATCTCTCTCCTTTTAAACCATTTATAAAAATGGATGGGGACCAATTACATTTTCTTCTTTGGCCAGTTCATCCCCCTTTCTGAAACCTGTCTTGGTTAGCTGATTGCCTGGGTAAAGAATGGAAGTTTCAGTCTTGTTTAATAAAATTATAAATAACTGAATGCCTAAATACTATCCCTGCCTAAGTGAGTTCTTACCCCGGTTTTATTTGCTTGCTTTTTGAATAACTGGTTGAGCAGTGAGGAATTTTAAAAGCTGCTTTTTATTGATTGGGTACACACATCAAACTAATCTATAATCTGGTTTAGTTGTTTTTGGTTTAGCCTGATGTGGAGTCAATCTGTTATGACCTAACATTATAAACAATATGGCTTGTTTCAGTAAACCATGGTTTTAAACATCTGGCTTTAATGTTATAGGTAAGCAAAGCCATTGACTCAGTGTTGATATAGTAAACCCAGTTTTGTCTACACACCAGCTTTCTCCAAGTTGGCATGTTGGCACTAACCTCATGAAACATCCAGCCAGCATGGTCAGCACAGTTAGCTCTGTTGGCTAGGAATGCTGAAAGTTGTAGTTCAAACAGATCTGGAAGGTGTTGGGTTAAGAAAGGCAGCTTTGTAATTACTCTCAGTGGCTCTTGACACGGGTCTTTTTTAGCCTTAGCTAGAGATGCCGAGATGGAACCTGCAATTTCTGTTAGTATAAGATATTCTTTGCTGCTGAGGTATGGCCCTTTTCTTTACAGTAGTTCATATTTAAAATTACATCATTCCATGGAAGAAATTTCTTAAAATTAAAATATTTCTGCAGTAAGATATAAGCTTAGAACAGTTTTTTAACGAAGCATGAAAAACGTTGTCAGCAAATGCCTTGAATTCTGGCTGCTTCCTTGGGTAGCATGTATTTTATAAAATCAAGGCATGGAGCTTATCTGGAGTGGTGGGGAAGAATATTGCAAGGACAACTTACCTTTGTTTAGACCTGCTGTATTTGTGGACTCAGAATGTTGAAATATTAGCCAGTGGATTAGTGAAATGGCAAGTCTGGTTACAAGAAGCAGCAGGGACACCAAAGAACTGGCTAATATTTCAAGCAAATGACAAACCTTAAGAGATTGTCCTGGCCTATGCAGCTATTGCAGAAGTTTGAAAAACAATTAATCAGATTAGGACGGCGAACGTTCTCAGCCCCAGATTCTGAAGATGGTTTCAACATGCATGCCAACATGAAAACCAATAGTTGCTTAGGAAGAAACTTAAGAAAAGGCACTCTGCTTTGCTTTAGTGCTTGCTATTATAACAAAAATGTCTCAAGCAAAACTTTTTTAGAGACGGACGATCTGAAGTATTTGCTTACTGACACTTCTCATTTTATATTTACATTTGCTAATAGTTTGTCTTTGCAGGGCAGGCGCCAGCGTTGTGTTTAACCAAGAGCTTAGCATTGCCTATAACAAACATAGATGAGACATGTTTGAGGAAAGACTTGAGTGGGACTGTGTGATGGATAGCCTGAGCGGGGAAGATTCTGGAATGGAGCTTCAAGGTTGTCAGGAGGGGGGAGAGACGTTCCAGGGCAAGCACCTCCTCAGCCCACAACAAGACTGTGGAAAAACAAAGAGGATGAGGCTGACTCCTCCCTAGAGCCTCACGGAGTATATTCTCTAGTAGCTGTAGATAAGTTTAGTTTGGCGAGATTCTGTCTATTAGGTAATAGTCAATAAAGGAACTGTACTGAACTGGAGGGCCTCGATGTGATTCTTGGGCTGAACCTGACATCAATCTCGCCAGACTCAACTTATCTACAGCTACTAGAGAATATACTCCATGAGGCTCTAGGGAGGTGCCAGCCTCATCCTCTTCGTTTTCCCACAGTCTTGTTGCGGACTGAGGAGGTGCTTCCCCTGGAACGTCTCTTCCCCCTCCTGACAACCTTGAAGCTCCATTCCACAATCTTCCCCGCTCAGGCTATCCATCAGAGACTGGTACAGGTGGTCCTCGCTTACATTCAATGACCATTCAGAGTTATGCTGCTGCTGAAGAAATAACTTTATGGCCCATTTATAATCATTTATGACCTTTGCAGCATCTCTCAGTCATGTGATTGCTATTACAGTCAGTATGTGTTGTCTTGTGCCTGACCTGTGGTTTTTTCTTTGTTTCCCCCCTTGCAGAGGAGAGGGTGAGATTTCAAGAGAGTAAGCTGTTTGCTCTTCAACATATCAAAAGCAATGCAATCACACCAGCAGCAGGAAAGGGTCAGGCAAGGGGAGATTGCCTACAGAAATTGCTTGCTTTTTTTTCCCCCACCCCCTTGCAGAGCAGAGAGATTGGAGAGAAAGGGATTTCAAGAGAGTAAGCTGTTGCATAGCGCACCTGTGGCTTCCAGCCCTGGGCTGCTGGTGCAATCGGATTGCTTTCGATATGTACAAGACAGTAAGCAGGCACTTGAGCATTCCAAAGGGCAGGGAGTGGTTAGGAGGCAAATAAAAGCCAAAGGTGTGAAATTGAGTAGTCTTGCCTCTTTCCAGCTGAAAAGCACAGTTGCAGTCACACGATTTCCCACTTAGAACTGCTTTCCTTAGCGGTGGAATTGCAAGTCCCAATTAGGGTCATTAAGCAAGGACTACTTGTACTGAAAAAAGCTCAGACAAAGGCTTAATTTTTGTATCAACAAAATCAGTGACTCACATGTCTCTGCAGAGTACAAAATGCTTTCTCAGTTCTGACTCTGCACTTTACTCTGACTTGTAGACAATAGATTGCAGAGTTAATTGATTTGCATATCTATGCTACAATTCTGTAAGAGCACATTTTAAAAACACCGAAAGTAGCTGTAAACACAAAGCACAGTTTTCTTGTGCAAGTGTCTATCCCTTACAAATGTATGTAAATCAGTGTTTGGGTAATCCTTGCTGAAACTTCAGGGACCAGAGAAAAATATCTTCAAGAGTAGAGCTTTGTTTCCTTTTTCCTATCATGATTAGTCAAATTAGAATGCATTACATAAAATCAGGGAAGTTGTTTAATTTCTGTTCAGCTTTTCTTATAGTGAAGTCATGCACACTGGGAATCAGTTACATTAAAATTAGTAGTCTTTTTTCAATAGCTCTTAATCTAGAAGAATGAATTTCAAAATGGCCCCCTGTCTAGATCATTTACATATTTGGTGCTGTCTTTGAATCTTGAGCGAGTCAAATGGTTCCTATTATAAAAAACTTACAATCTTTTTTAAAAAGTCACAAGGAAAGAGATGGAGTATTTCAAAGTCTGAATAAGTTGAGAAAAGGTAGATGGGAGAATACAAAATTTATCTATTAAAAAAAAGGATTTTTTAAAAACTTTATTTTACTCCAGTGTGCCTGTTTTCTGCTTTGACTATGTCTACCTTTCCATTGCCTTACTCACATGATTTCTGATAACCCAGGGTACTGATTTACATGGAGCTTCTATTCATGTTCTAATGGAGAAATCAGGGGCATCAGCAATAGGATTTGTACAGTAACTGCTGCCTTGATCTTGTACTCTTGATATTTTTACCTTATCTGTGGGCAATGCCTAGATAGCGCTAAAAGATGGTCTAACAGGCATATAAGGCAATAAGAAGGAAAGGAAAAAGTCAATCCAGGAGATAGGCCTTTTGGTAGCAAAGTGTTATGGATGTGCTGCAAGAATAACTTCATTTTTTTTTTCCATAGAAATGTTTTCCTAGAAACAGTGGATTATGGGTGGCATTCTGTGTCTGTGAAACAAGAATGGATTAGTAGCTAATTTATGCATCAGGATTAAGTGATGTTCCTTATATAATTTATTGGTTCCAAATATATGATCTTGCTTTTAACATGTCAGTTAATATACAAACTTAATTTTTATTTTCATAATGAACTTTTAATTTGTCATTGCCTCAATATTGAAAACATTCTCTTTTAATGAAAAAGCTTTTGTAATAAATATCTTTCAGGTGGATGTTCTTAAGGCAACTGCTCTACCTTTGTTGAAAAGATTTGGAATTGATGGTGAAGAATTAGAATTGAAGGTTAGAGTTTGCTACTGATCAGAACTTCACTACAATTAAGAAATGTCTTTAAGAAATAAATTTCTCTGAGTTTATACTTGGCCACAGTATTGGTGGCCAAATCTTCTTCCTCTTCATTTTGGCAGCTGCTTTATCTTACTAGAATCTATAAGTCCTCTGGATTTTTGATAGACAATCAAAGGTTATCTTTTATTGTATTCAGATAACAAGGCGAGGTATGCCTCCCAAAGGAGGAGGGGAAGTGATCTTCACTTGTCCTGTGAAGAAAGTATTAAAACCTGTTCAGTACATTGACCCTGGTAAAATTAAGCGTATTAGAGGTATGGCGTATCCTTCTTTAAACATGTCTGAAGAGAATTCTAGACTGCCCTTTTCATTCAAAGATTTAGTTTTTAGGTCTGTATCCACTTAACTTATGAGTAAGCCCTGCTGAGATCAGTTGTTGGGTTCACACATTACCCTGAGTCAATGTAGTGTGGTTGGTTAAGGTGTTACCATGGAACTCACTGACTGACTTTGGACCAATCTATTTCTTTCAAACCAACTTATCCCTTTGGTTTGCTGATATGGGGGATAAACTTAGGGAAGAGCTTGAGCTGTCAGAAAAGATAGAATATAAATGCAATTTATAAAAATAATGTGATTTGTCCTATTTTAGCTTAGTGTGTTATGTGAGGATAGCCTATGCTTTTTGTAAACCATGGTTTATGGCTGAGCATATTGTGCAGACTCAACCAATTGTGGCTTATACAATTAAGTGAATGATAAGTTAGAGCAGGATGCATTGCAGTATTAGATATGGCCCTGTACATGACGGATGTGAAGAATATAGATAACTGAGTTGTGGTTGAGTAGCCTGAATGTTTTAGCAAAATATAGAAGTTCACTTTCACAACATATGGTGAGTAGGTGGAATTACAGTATTTTTTGTTCAGCTGTGGAAATAAGTCCAAAAACATTGCTAGACCATGCAGGTATTTAATTCCTTATGAGTCCATTCATATCTAAATTCATTGTTTTAGTGGATTCATTTCAGTGAATCAACTATGGCCAAGCTGTTTTACTGGTATCTGTTACCAATAAAACACAATCGGATAACATGACTAGATAATAAAGAGGTAATCCAGTTGTGAAACTCACCAGAGAAGAGTATATGAAGACAGAGTACAGTACTTTATTAGTTTTATAAATCAGATTCCTGTGTGAGCTTCATTCTTCCAGCTTTATCTCTCACAATTGATGACAATACTTGAGCTAAGTTCAAATATTATTTGCAGGGGGTAGCAGTAATTACCATCTGACTTCTGGTGGTTGTTGTTGTTAACATTACATTGTTGTTTAACATTAAACCACACATGAATCATCCCCCTCAACATCAGATCCGGGTGAGAAGTTGCCACCACTTTTTCTGTGTTAGGCTGGCTGAAGTTGAATAGGTTAGTAATTTGTCTGGAGTTCAGTATAACATCACTCTAACTTTCTACAGGCTTAATATGTTAGTCAGAGAGCATTTGGTATGAACTTTTGAACCAGAAGAGCATTGGTGTAAGTAGTACATGCATAGTATGGCTTGTCATTTGCATTCTCTATTTTGCTTTTCTTGGTTGCAAAATATTCACATGTGTATTGTACACAGATATGCAGGCATTCATGAAGGAAGTGCACAAAAAGTCCTCTTCTGATACTGACCCTCTTTTTGTTTTAAAGTATTTTCACAAATATTTCCTTAGCTTTCTAAATCAGCTATTCTGTCAGGGTGTCCCCCCAGATAGCAAACCGAATTGTGGATTCTGCAAGGAGCATTCTGAATAAATTCCTACCAGATATTTACATTTATACCGATCATATGAAGGGGACCAGCTCTGGGAAGTAAGTTTTCAGATAATTCTTTTGAAGGTACTGTATATATTACGGCTTCAGAGATTTTGAAGTGAATGCAGTGCTATCTAACAGTAATATATAGCATGCTTTCAAAGTTGTCTCAGTCATCTCAGTCATTTTTTCAATAGCCATAGAAAGGATGTAGGTGTGGAACTAGTGAAGCTGGGGAAGCTGGGGCTTGCTATTTGCCAAATTGCTCTTTGTGGCTAAAGTGAGATTTCATGCATGGGCTTCCCACCTTGTACATACTGGGGAGTTTAAGGGTTTCAACAAGCACAACTTAGCCATTACATGACCAGAGGAAGGAAAGTTGCACCATTGCAAATCAGATTTTTTGCCCCTTCATATCAGCCATGCAGTCTAGGAATTCTCTGTGGGTGCCAGATGGGGAACTTGCATAGGCCACTGATTGCTTATGCCTATTATAGTCCATTCAGGTAACTAATTACTTGCCCATTAGGCCATATAACTCGATTTTGGAAAAACTACGACCCCCTCTTTGGAGAAAGAGAGTTTGCCCTTTCTTTCTTGAACCCCAGTTATCAAGCTCACTCCCATTCTCCTGACATCTCAGAGACTTGCAGGTTAGAGTTGCTGGCCCCCACCTATTTTCATAGCTTCTGGAAAAGGATTTTCTTTGGCTCCCTCATCATTTAAATATCAACCCGTGGGTAGTAGAGCAGATGCTTTGCCCTCAGAAGCTCTTTGATTTGATCCCTGTCATTTCCTGATTTAAAAGGACCTGACAGCAGGGACTGAGAGAGGCCCTTGTTAGGTATCTTGGAAGCTGCTGCTGGTCAGAGTAAAAATAGCTGGCTTAGTGGACAATTTGCTTGACCCAGTGATAAGCTGGTTGTTATGTTCTTAGATAAAAAGAAAAAAGATTGACACAGTCAAATTTATGGCCAGTGTTTGGGGTTGGCTATCATGGGTATTCAAATACCCGCACAGTAGTTAAGAAACCACCTTAGCTGTCAAGGTTTGGGCACTTTTATCAAAGACTTAAAAGTACATATGCCTGCTCCAAAAAAACCAAAAAGCCCTCTCAATTTCTCCTCTGCACCCATCTTTCTTTCAGGTCTCCTGGCTTTGGTCTGTGTCTCATAGCCGAGACTACAAATGGAACTTTCCTTAGTGCTGAACTGGCCTCTAATCCCCAGGGCCAGGGTGCCGCTATACTTCCAGAAGACCTTGGTGTAAACTGTGCAAAATTACTCCTTGAAGAGATCCACCGAGTAAGTGGCTGATTTTAAGTCTCTTTTGAAGGAAACTTGCTAGTCCAGCCCTGCACCTTGTGCCCTCCGTATGTGTTGGAATCACAGTTTCCAGGATTCCTGGCCATCATGATACCACTCTTGCTGGCTGGGAATTCTGGGTGTGGTATTCCCAAAATACCTGGAAGGCACCAGAGGTTGGAAGACTCCTTTAGAAGATTCACACTAGTTCATGAGTTCTCCCATGCTGGTTGGAAAGTCTGGGAGCTGTAGCTCCAGCAGGTACCAAGCTGAGGAAGCCTGTGCTAATGCTTCACTCCTGAAAGTCATCATATGCATTTTAGTTCTGTGCATGTTTATGCTTATATAATTTTAATTCTATCATTTTAATTCTACCCATGTTGTATTGCGACAAAAACTTTCTATTCTCTAGGCAGCAACAGCAGAGCTATGTTATATATAAAGGCCTTTTTCCAAATACAACAAATAAAATACACCTTTCTTTTGGTTAACAATTGGAAGAAGTCTATAAAGGCAGTCCTCAGGTTATGACTGGAATTGGGACCGAAATTTCTGTCGCTAAGTGATGCGGTCGTAAACCGTGACATCACATGACCACATTGCTTAGCAAAGGAAATCCTGGGAGTTGCCATTGCCATTGTTAACCAAATCCCACTGGTTGTTAGGCAAGGACCCACCCTGATCCAAGCCACTCCCAGCTTGGCCCTCCCAGCCCCAAGCCTCAGTAAGGTAAGAAACTGCCTCCTCTTGAACTCCCCCAACCTGCCTATCTTCACCCCCAACTCTGCCCTTTTGGCCATCCTGCTGTGCCCGCCCCTCTCTAAATCGCATGTAGCCTTCTCACAATTCTTCAGAAGGCTTCAGAAGCATCGCGAGAATGCAGCACACGGTTTGGGAGGGGTGGGTGCAGCCTTCTCACAAGCTTTTGGAAGGCCTCAGAAGCATCACAAGAAAGCAGTGCTTGATTTGGAGAAGGGTGCACACAGCCTTGGGAAGAAGGCCTGGTGCAGCCAGCAGCTACCTCACATAGGGACAGGCCAGGCGCGCCTCATCAGCAGCGGGAGGAAGAAGTCAGCTGGGGTAACAGGGCCCATGGAGCACAGGACGGGGCGGGCGGCTGGGGCTTTGCACTGTGGTGCTGGGGTGACTAGCTGTGGTACAGGGCTTGAGGCGGTAGCACTGGTGGTGCTGGGGCTGAAGTAGAGGCCTGAGCGGGGGGTGGCAGCCGGATGAGACTGCTGAAGGCCCAGGCCTCTACTTTAGCCCCAGTGCCACTGGCACTTCCACCACCACTGAGGAGTGCTACTGCAAAGTTGCCAAAAGAGCAGAGATGGGAGGAGATAGGCAGGTGGGGGGAGTTGAAGTGCCCCTGTGGTCATAAGTGTGAGCAGGCTGCCAACTGCCTGACTTTTGACTGGGGTTGCTGCAGCAGCCATAAATTCGGGGACTGGGCATAAGTACCATTCATTCAGCGCTGCTGTAACTTCAGATGGTCACTGAACAAATGGTCATTAAGTGAGGACTACCTGTAGTCTTCAAGGCCTCATCTTATAAATTTTGACATTGTTAGTTTCAGCATTCTTTAATATGTGCTACAAATATACTACTAGTAAATGGAATCCTGATCCATTAGTAATTATTACCAAGTCATTGGATAATATGCTTAGTTCTATTGCTTCTTAATGGAAACCTAAGAAATACTGTAAAGGGTCTGATCCATATTGGCTTAATGTGCTATAAGCTTCAGGATGGGGTTGGAAAATCAGAGTCACTTTCTTCATGTGCCTTTCTGGAAATCAAAAATGGTCAGTGTTCCAGAAAGGAAGGGAAATTGTCTGTTAATATATGTTGCTACCAACATTTGCTAAGTAGGCAGCAATATTAAACCCATTTACCTGAAAGCCCTGTTGAATTGGGACCCACTTCTGAGTAGACCTACATAGGATTGTGCCACTACTGCTTTACTTATTATTTTATTTGCTAACATTTATATCCTGCCCAGCTCCATTCAACTAAAACTTAAAATAATCATCAGAACAAATACCACAGTAAGAATAATCTAAAAAACAAGGAAAGGCAAAAAACATATATGAGGTTAGAGACAATCATTCCTGCAGATCTTAATTTTGAAATGCTTTTATTTTTTTTTGAAGAGCTGGTCTTTGTTGCTCTGTAGAAAGATGAAGGGCATTTGGTTTTCAGTGAGCAGCATATTTTCCAGGGATGGGACAGCTGTTTGAAAAGGCCTTTTGCCCCATGGATCCCAGCAAAGCTAATTTTTGCTCCTAGTATACCACATCATAGTGAATCATTAGGAAATATCCTGCTGGGTTTTGAAAGTTAAATTTAACAATATATGGTTTATATTCTCTTTCCATCTTACCCATCCCACCCCAAAGGTTTTGCAGATTCACCAGATTCACTCTTTGCCATTTTTAGTTTACACCAGTATGGGCGACATTCCAAAGGCCATAGTGGAGGGGTTTTTTTATCTTGCATGAGTCTGTGGGGATACAGCCAGTGAGAATATGGCACCAGAGAGGCTGGGCTGAGAATTTCTGACACCTTTTCAGATTGGGAAAGCTTAAGGAGCAAAGTGGGTTCCTTAAGCTTAAGGCCTGAGGCTAAGGCCCCCAAGCTGTGTTCTGTTCTCAGTGCAAAAAAATAAAATAAAATCCTAAAATGTAGGTCTGTCCACTCTGAGAGACTTCAGGATCTCTGAACAGTGCCTTCAGTGCCTCTGTTGGGGCACAGGGGTTATACGAAGATTGTAAGTTATTTGCTTCTGATTTTTATTGGAGATAAATAGAATTTTCAAATAATAGATTTCATCCTTGATGGTTTACAAACTACTGTCATTTAATAAGACTATTAAAATGGGAAAGCTGGGAATTCTTGACCTCTGCCATTCTGAATTTATTCGTTTCCATTTTCTAGCTACCTTTCTAAGGTTGAAGGGCCCATCTGTTTTAATACATTAACTGACAGAAACATATTCTTTCTGAAACACTGTGTTCTTTTACCTCATCATTGTTTAAAAAATGTAGTACCAAAGTATATCTTGCATTTTTCTGTTTTTTAAATAAATCTCACCAATGTACTGATTTATTATTTAAAAAGCTCCAGTTTTGCTTTAGGAGTTCCTAGAGAAACCAAATGCTGAAAATGTACCGTATTTTTCCGACAATAAGACGCCCCCATGTACAAGATGACCCCCACTTTTCCAACCCAAAATTAAGAAATCAATATTTTAAAG